ATCGGTAGGATTGTACCATCAGAAACTCGTATCTTGTAAAAGCATCATATCAGCATTACGGCTGCCCGTCGTATCTGTAATACTAGGTGTCACACACCCCCCCCCCTTACATCAGATGTCACACCCCCCCCCCCTTACATCAATGTCACACCCCCCCCCTTACATCAGATGTCACACCCACCCCCCCCTTACATCAGATGTCACACCCCCCCCCTTACATCAATGTCACACCCCCCCCCCTTACATCAGATGTCACACCCCCCCCCCTTACATCAATGTCACACCCCCCCCCTTACATCCGATGTCACACCCACCCCCCTTACATCCGATGTCACACCCCCCCCCTTACATCAATGTCCACACCCCCCCCCCCCTTACATCAGATGTCACAGCCACCCCCCCTTACATCAATGTCACACCCCCCCCCCCTTACATCAATGTCACACACCCCCCCCCCCTTACATCAGATGTCACACCCCACCCCCCCTTACATCAGATGTCACACCCCCCCCCTTACATCAATGTCACACCCCCCCCCCTTACATCAGATGTCACACCCCCCCCTTACATCAATGTCACATCACACCCCCCCCTTACATCAGATGTCACACCCACCCCCCCCTTACATCAGATGTCACACCCCCCCCCCTTACATCAATGTGTCACACCCCCCCCCCTTACATCAGATGTCACAGCCACCCCCCCTTACTTACATCAATGTCACAGCCACCCCCCCTTACACCACCCCCCTTACATCAATGTCACACCCCCCCTTACATCAGATGTCACAGCCACCCCCCTTACATCAGATGTCACAGCCACCCCCCTTACATCAGATGTCACAGCCACCCCCCTTACATCAGATGTCACAGCCACCCCCCTTACATCCGATGTCACACCCACCCCCCTTACATCCGATGTCACACCCACCCCCCTCACACACCACCCCCCTTACATCCGATGTCACACCCACCCCCCTTACATCCGATGTCACACCCACCCCCCTTACATCCGATGTCACACCCACCCCCTTACATCCCGATGTCACACCCACCCCCCTTACATCCGGTGTCACACCCACCCCCCTTACATCCGGTGTCACACCCACCCCCCTTACATCCGGTGTCACACCCACCCCCCTTACATCCGGTGTCACACCCACCCCCCTTACATCCGGTGTCACACCCACCCCCCTTACATCCGGTGTCACACCCACCCCCCCTTACATCCGGTGTCACACCCACCCCCCTTACATCCGGTGTCACACCCACCCCCCTTACATCCGGTGTCACACCCACCCCCCTTACATCCGGTGTCACACACCCACCCCCCTTACATCCGGTGTCACACCCACCCCCCTTACATCCGGTGTCACACCCACCCCCCTTACATCCGGTGTCACACCCCCCCCCTTACCCCCACATTTACATCCGGTGTCACACCCACCCCCCTTACATCCGGTGTCACACCCACCCCCCTTACATCCGGTGTCACACCCACCCCCCTTACATCCGGTGTCACACCCACCCCCCTTACATCCGGTGTCACACCCACCCCCCTTACATCCGGTGTCACACCCACCCCCCTTACATCAGGTGTCACACCCACCCCCCTTACATCAGGTGTCACACCCACCCCCCTTACATCAGGTGTCAAGGGCCTCCCACCATTAGAAGTCAAGAATCTCCAACCCCCCGCTGCTGCAGGGAAGAACCTGGGGGCGGAGCTAGGAAACAGAAAATGCAGAATCTGAAGGAGGACCAGAGGAAGGCCGGAGTCAGCTGCCAGAGTGTGCTGAATGCTTAGAGGCGGAGACAAGGTGGTGCTGCGGCTGCACAGAGAGTTACAGGATCTGTAGGAGGAGTGCTGTCGTCCTCTCTGCTGCTGATACAGGGGGGTCTGGGGGGAGGGTACAGAGACGAGCCTCTCCTGGCTGCACAGAGAGATACAGGATCTGTAGGAGGAGTGCCGTCATCCTCTCTGCTGCTGATACAGGGGGGTCTGGGGGGAGGGTACAGAGACGAGCCTCTCCTGGCTGCACAGAGAGATACAGGATCTGTAGGAGGAGTGCCGTCATCCCCTCTGCTGCTGATATGGGGGGAGGGTACAGAGACAAGCCTCTCCAGACTTCACAGAGAAGCACAGGATCTGTAGGAGGAGTTCTGTCCTCCTCTCTGCTGATTGCTGAGACAAGGTGGGAGCGGAGACGAGTGGAGGTGCCGCAGCTGCAGAAGTTGTAGCGTAGCAGTCGGGACCTTTCCGTGAGGCACTAGTAAATGTGCGGGGAGCACACAGGGCTTCTGCTGCCTTCAATCAGGTCTATTGACAAGCAAGTGAGGGGGGGGGCTGGCGAGTCTGAGCTGCACTGTGTGTGTGTGTCAATGGACACACACAGTGTTGCTTGGGATCAAGCCTGCAGGTGTGCCACAATGGGAAGTGGCTTCCTACGGTGGCACACCAAGAAGAGGAGCTCAGAGCGTCGGCAGGGGGACCCCAGAAGAGGAGGAACAGGACTGAGTGCGCAAAACCATTACACAGAGCAGGTAAGTATAACATGTTTGTTATTTAAAAAAAAACAAAACCTGTACAATCATTGTAAGGATATGAGATGAATAGGTGTTTTTTTTAGTCCCAGTTAGAAACAAGCAACCTAGGGTGACAACTCTGCTCCTCCATAGATACAATACAGTGAGTGTTGTCACCCTAGGACAGGAAGTGTGTGAGGAAACAAGCCCCAAAAATGGCTATTGATTGCATAGGTGCCGTATGAAAGAGAATGCTTGAGAGAATCGTTCACATCAAAGACTGGTCATTATTGGCCATGGAATGAATTTATAAACCATCAACGCGTTTCGGGACAACGCCAGTCACTTCATCAGGAAAGTAAACACATGGAGGCTGCAGGGTGACAACCCATTCTGTAGCTTTCAGTCTGTCTGTCAGGGGCAGGAGAACAATGCGCTCCTCACATCCAAGGACTGCTAGGCTGCAATATGAAGTTCTTCGGTTAGGATACTTGTAACATTTATTTTCGGCAGTGCTGCCAAGTCTTTTGTTTCCTAATCTCTAAAAAATGTGACTTTGTTTTTCCTCAGTCCGTGCTGGACGAGATGATGGTGGAGCAGACGGATTTGGTTCGGCTGAGGATGGTTCGAATGTCCAACGTTCCTGACACGCTGTACATGGTGAACAACGCAGTGCCACAGTGCTGTCACATGATCAACCACCAGCAAATGAGCAGCAGCCAGACAAAACCCTCCTACTGTAGTAGCCAATGAAATACCAGGTAAATGTGATCAACTATCTTTGTGTCGCTCATTTCTCTGCTGATGTGCAGTTTGCTGGTTTGTTTTTGTCTTAGGAACGCCGGGCGTAATCCATCATTGACTATGGCGAAAAGAAGTGGGAGGAATGGTGTCCCATCATTGGTGTCAGTGGAAGGAATGGTATCCCATCATTGGTGTCAGTGGGAGGAATGGTGTCCCATCATTGGTGTCAGTGGGAGGAATAGTGCCTCATCATTGGTGTCAGTGGGAGGAATAGTGTCCCATCATTGGTGTCAGTGGGAGGAATGGTGTCCCATCATTGGTGTCAGTGGGAGGAATGGTGTCCCATCATTGGTGTCAGTGGGAGGAATGGTGTCCCATCATTGGTGTCAGTGGGAGGAATGGTGTACTTGTAGTTCTCCCATTCACAGAATTGGTGGAGCAACAAAAAAACTTTTTTTTTTTAAATTGTGACCGCAAGTGCACCGCTCGCTGTCACAATGGAGGATCAGGGGGCTGCTGCATCTGTAACATGTTATGAAAGGTGAACTTATCCTTTACTGTATAAGAATTCAGGTTGCTGCACCTTCTATTTAGCAAGTCTTCAGTGACAGTATAGAGAGCTTTCATTTCAGCTAAGTTGTATATCAGACTAAACCAGGCTTTCTCAACCGGTGTTCCTCCACAGGATTTCCTGCTTCTCCAGTATGTAACCACTGAGTGCATTCTTCCCACTGACCCCCAATGTAAGGGGCATTCTTCCCACTGACCCCCCAATGTAAGGGACATTCTTCCCACTGACCCCCAATGTAAGGAACATTCTTCCCACTGACCCCCAATGTACGGGACATTCTTCCCACTGACCCCCAATGTAAGGGACATTCTTCCCACTGATCACCAATGTAAGGGACATTCTTCCCACTGATCACCAATGTAAGGGACATTCTTCCCACTGACCCCCAATGTAAGGGACATTCTTCCCACTGACCCCCAATGTAAGGGACATTCTTCCCACTGTTCACCAATGTAAGGGACATTCTTCCCACTGACCCCCAATGTAAGGGACATTCTTCCCACTGATCACCAATGTAAGGAACATTCTTCCCACTGATCAATGTAAGGGACGTTCTTCCCACTGTTCACCAATGTAAGGGACAGTCTTCACACTGACCCCCCAATGTAAGGGACATTCTTCCCACTGACCCCCAATGTAAGGGACATTCTTCCCACTGACCCCCAATGTAAGGGACATTCTTCCCACTGACCCCCGATGTAAGGGACATTCTTCCCACTGACCCCCAATGTAAGGGACATTCTTCCCACCGACCCCCCCAATGTAAGGGACATTCTTCCCACCGACCCCCAATGTAAGGGACATTCTTCCCACTGATCCCCAATGTAAGGGACATTCTTCCCACTGACCACCAATGTAAGGGACATTCTTCCCACTGACCCCCAATGTAAGGGACATCCTACCCACTGACCACCAATGTAAGGGACATTCTTCCCACTGACCACCAATGTAAGGGACATTCTTCCCACTGACCCCCAATGTAAGGGACATTCTTCCCACTGACCACCAATGTAAGGGACATTCTTCCCACTGACCCCCAATGTAAGGGACATTCTTCCCACTGACCCCCAATGTAAGGGACATTCTTCCCACTGACCCCCAATGTAAGGGACATTCTTCCCACTGACCCCCAATGTAAGGGACATTCTTCCCACTGACCCCCAATGTAAGGGACATTCTTCCCACTGATCACCAATGTAAGGGACATTCTTCCCACTGACCCCCAATGTAAGGGACGTTCTTCCCACTGACCCCCAATGTAAGGGACATTCTTCCCACTGACCCCCAATGTAAGGGACGTTCTTCCCACTGACCCCCAATGTAAGGGACATTCTTCCCACTGACCCCCAATGTAAGGGACATTCTTCCCACTGACCCCCAATGTAAGGGACATTCTTCCCACTGATCACCAATGTAAGGGGCATTCTTCCCACTGACCCCCAATGTAAGGGACGTTCTTCCCACCGACCACCAATGTAAGGGATGTTCTTCCCACTGACCCCCAATGTAAGGGGCGTTCTTCCCACTGACCCCCCAATGTAAGGGGCGTTCTTCCCACTGACCCCCAATGTAAGGGACGTTCTTCCCACTGACCCCCAATGTAAGGGACGTTCTTCCCACTGACCCCCAATGTAAGGGACGTTCTTCCCACTGACCCCCAATGTAAGGGACGTTCTTCCCACTGACCCCCAATGTAAGGGATGTTCTTCCCACTGACCCCCAATGTAAGGGACATTCTTCCCACTGACCCCCCCAATGTAAGGGACATTCTTCCCACTGATCACCAATGTAAGGGACATTCTTCCCACTGACCCCCAATGTAAGGGACATTCTTCCCACTGACCCCCAATGTAAGGGACATTCTTCCCACTGACCTCCAATGTAAGGGACATGCTTCCCACTGACCTCCAATGTAAGGGACGTGCTTCCCACTGACCCCCAATGTAAGGGATGTTCTTCCCACTGACCCCCAATGTAAGGGACATTCTTCCCACTGACCCCCCCAATGTAAGGGACATTCTTCCCACTGATCACCAATGTAAGGGACATTCTTCCCACTGACCCCCAATGTAAGGGACATTCTTCCCACTGACCACCAATGTAAGGGACATTCTTCCCACTGACCTCCAATGTAAGGGACATGCTTCCCACTGACCCCCAATGTAAGGGACATGCTTCCACTGACCTCCAATGTAAGGGACATGCTTCCCACTGACCCCCAATGTAAGGGACATTCTTCCCACTGACCCCCAATGTAAGGGACATTCTTCCCACTGACCCCCCAATGTAAGGGACATTCTTCCCACTGATCACCAATGTAAGGGACGTTCTTCCCACTGATCACCAATGTAAGGGACGTTCTTCCCACCGACCCCCAATGTAAGGGACGTTCTTCCCACTGACCCCCAATGTAAGGGACGTTCTTCCCACTGACCCCCAATGTAAGGGACGTTCTTCCCACCGACCCCCAATGTAAGGGACGTTCTTCCCACCGACCCCCAATGTAAGGGACGTTCTTCCCCCACCGACCCCCAATGTAAGGGACGGACGTTCTTCCCACCGACCCCCAATGTAAGGGACGTTCTTCCCACCGACCCCAATGTAAGGGACGTTCTTCCCACTGACCCCCAATGTAAGGGACGTTCTTCCCACTGACCCCCAATGTAAGGGACGTTCTTCCCACTGACCCCCAATGTAAGGGACGTTCTTCCCACTGACCCCCAATGTAAGGGGCGTTCTTCCCACTGACCCCCAATGTAAGGGATGTTCTTCCCACTGACCCCCAATGTAAGGGACATTCTTCCCACTGACCCCCCCAATGTAAGGGACATTCTTCCCACTGATCACCAATGTAAGGGACATTCTTCCCACTGACCCCCAATGTAAGGGACATTCTTCCCACTGACCCCCAATGTAAGGGACATTCTTCCCACTGACCTCCAATGTAAGGGACGTGCTTCCCACTGACCTCCAATGTAAGGGACATGCTTCCCACTGACCCCCAATGTAAGGGATGTTCTTCCCACTGACCCCCAATGTAAGGGACATTCTTCCCACTGACCCCCCCAATGTAAGGGACATTCTTCCACTGATCAATGTAAGGGACATTCTTCCCACTGACCCCCAATGTAAGGGACATTCTTCCCACTGACCACCAATGTAAGGGACATTCTTCCCACTGACCTCCAATGTAAGGGACATGCTTCCCACTGACCCCCAATGTAAGGGACATTCTTCCCACTGACCCCCCAATGTAAGGGACATTCTTCCCACTGATCACCAATGTAAGGGACATTCTTCCCACTGATCACCAATGTAAGGGACGTTCTTCCCACCGACCCCCAATGTAAGGGACGTTCTTCCCACTGACCCCCAATGTAAGGGACGTTCTTCCCACCGACCCCCAAATGTAAGGGACGTTCTTCCCACCGACCCCCAATGTAAGGGACGTTCTTCCCACCGACCCCCAATGTAAGGGACGTTCTTCCCACCGACCCCCAATGTAAGGGACATTCTTCCCACTGACCCCCAATGTAAGGGACATTCTTCCCACTGACCCCCAATGTAAGGGACATTCTTCCCACTGACCCCCCAATGTAAGGGACATTCTTCCCACTGACCCCCAATGTAAGGGACATTCTTCCCACTGACCCCCAATGTAAGGGACATTCTTCCCACTGACCCCCAATGTAAGGGACATTCTTCCCACTGACCCCCAATGTAAGGGACATTCTTCCCACTGACCCCCCAATGTAAGGGACATTCTTCCCACTGACCCCCAATGTAAGGGACATTCTTCCCACTGACCCCCCAATGTAAGGGACATTCTTCCCACTGATCACCAATGTAAGGGACATTCTTCCCACTGAACACCAATGTAAGGGACATTCTTCCCACTGAACACCAATGTAAGGGACATTCTTCCCACCGACCCCCAATGTAAGGGACATTCTTCCCACTGACCCCCAATGTAAGGGACGTTCTTCCCACCGACCCCCAATGTAAGGGACGTTCTTCCCACCGACCCCCAATGTAAGGGACGTTCTTCCCATACTGATCACCAATGTAAGGGACATTCTTCCCACTGACCCCTAATGTAGGGGACATTCTTCCCACTGACCCCCAATGTAAGGGACGTTCTTCCCACCGACCCCCAATGTAAGGGACGTTCTTCCCACCGACCCCCAATGTAAGGGACGTTCTTCCCACCGACCCCCAATGTAAGGGACGTTCTTCCCACCGACCCCCAATGTAAGGGACGTTCTTCCCACCGACCCCCAATGTAAGGGACATTCTTCCCACCGACCCCCAATGTAAGGGACATTCTTCCCACCGACCCCCAATGTAAGGCGCATTCTTCCCACCAGTGATGTCAGTGGTAGGAATGGTGTCCCATCAGTGGTGTCAGGTGGTGGGATAGTGCCCCAAGGGCCAGATAAAAGCAATGAAAGGGCCATATTCGGCACCCGGGCCGCATATTGGGGACGACTGGGCTAGAGTAATACATGGAGAGCTGGATATGTAATTTTTTTTACATCATTTAGATGCTGTATTTTTTGACACAGGAATTTTCGTGACTTTAAAGTGCCTCTAAAGTCTCAAGGTTTTTTATCTTCATGAATTGTCTGCATAAAGGTAAAAAAATATCCTATGTGTAGCCCCCCCTCGGCACTTACCTCAGCCCCCTCTAGATCCAGCAATGTCCACGAGAGCCTTGGTTCTCCAGAGACTCTCACTGACCATCACAGCCTGTGAGCCACTCAGTAGAGGAAGGGGGCGGGGCTGAGTCCACAGGTCTGTGTGCGAATGGACACACAGAGCTGTGGCTCAGGAGCATGCCTGCTCGGGTGCCCCATAGCAAGCTGTTTGTTATGGGGGCACCCGACAGGAGGGAGGGGCCTGGAGCTCTGGCGGTGGACCCAAGAAGAGGAGGATTTAGGTTGCTCTGTGCAAAACCACTGGGGAGTATGACATGTTATTTTTACCACTTCCCGTCCGGCCCATGTCTATAAACGGCTGGACGGGAGCGCTGCTAGAGCGGATTGACGTTTCTAAACGTCACCCTCATAAACTGATTTTGCGCGCTACCTGGGAGCGTGCGGCACCGCCATCCAATGCGCGCTGTTTCCTCCGGACTTAGAGGAACACGGATTGCTGTACGGGACCTCTGTGTGAAGTCCCGATTCATGTCATCACTGATTGTCCAATCAGTGATCACATGAATAGTAGTAAGCAAGATGTCACTTCTGACATCATTGCTTACTACTTGTGAAATCCATGAATGATTACTGAGGTCACATGGTACAGGGCCATTCACATACAGCTGGAGAGTGCCAAATCAGGCTCACGTCTGCATAGAAACCAATCAGATTCTAACCTCAGCTTGTCCAATTAACCACTTCCCGACCGACCGGCCGTTGCATATAAACGGCCGGACGGTGGCAGTGCAGGGTTGGGTGGCTGTTTCTAAACGGCCTCCCTGCACCCTGCTTGTGTGCGCTCCCTGGGAGCGCGCAGCACCGCGATCCGGTGCCCGCTGTGTCCTCCGGACGTTGTACGGGACCTCTGTGTGAGGTCCCGATCATGTGATCACTGATTGGCCAATCAGTGATCACATGCAAAGCAGTAAGCAAGATGTCACTTCTGACATCATTGCTTACTACGTGTGAAATCTGTGATCGCATGGTACAGGGCTATTCACAACAGCCTTGTACCATGTGACAAGCTGTGACCAATCACAGCTCTCACAGTATTTCTCAATGGCTGCAGGAATGCAGACAGAGAGAAGGAGAAATGATTCATCTTACAGCCTTTATGGGTGTAAAAGCAATCACTGTAAAAAAAAAAAAATCTTCACCCCCCACAAGTAGTACAGTGTCACCTATGGTGACACTGTACTGCTAGGGTGACCGTATGTAAAAAAAAAAAAAATTAAAAAATAATATAAAAAAATAAAATAAAAATGTAAAAAAAAAGTTTAAAAATTATAATTTTTGGTTATACACTAATTTGGATTTTTTTTTTTACTAAAAAGATAATGGAATACATTTTGGCCAATATTTATGATGAAATATTACTTATTTGCAAAATGTTATAAAAAAACACTTTTTTTCAAAATTTTTGGACTTTTTCATTTACATAGCGAAAAAAAAATAAAAATCCCAGCGGTGAATAAATACCACCACAATAAAGCTTTATCTGTCTCAAAAAAATGGTAAAAAAGTAATTTGGATACAGTGTTCCATGACCGCGCAATTGTCATTCACAGCGTGATAGCGCTGAAAGCTGAAAATTGGCCTGGACTGGAAGGGGGGGAAAGTGTCCGGACTGGAAGTGGTTAAGCTTTGGCAATAAAACCTGGAAGCTGATTGGTTTCTATGCACAAGTGAACCTGATTTTGCACTCTTCAGCTTTAGTAAATATGTCCTTATATGCCTGGTCAGAAGACTTTTTTTTTTTTTTTTTTTTTTCCCTTAATGAGTTCATTACCAAAAATGTAGCCTGAACGAGGTTGTATATGCTCATCATCTGCCAGGTACAATGAACCATTTACAGTACGGGACATCTGATCTCATCTGTTTTCCTCCTCAGTTCCTCCGCTTGGAATCGTGAGGGAGATGATCAGACGCCTGCAGGAACTGCGACACACGGAGCAGGTTCAGCGCGCATACGCCTTAAACTGCGGAGAAGGTGCTACCGTCAGTTATGAGATCCAGATCCGGGTTTTGAGGGAATTTGGTCTGTCTGACACCGCTGCAGAGCTGTTACAGGTATTCTGGTGGATTGTTGGAGTTGGGGCTTTTGCATCCTGTAGGGATCTGTGCCATTAGAAACTGGAAATAAATCTTTTGCAGAAATTCTATCTAAAGGTGCGGCGAAAAGTCACTGACTAGTGGTGTGTAGAGGCTGGAATAGTGATACGTGGGAGGAGTTTGTATTTCAGTTCCGGGATAGAATTGATAAATATTATTATGATGTACTTGTGAGCCACTGGAGTCTGAGAAATAATAAGTTAGATCGCTGGAATATATTTCACTCTCATAGGAAGTGAATATTATAAATAAATAACTTATGATAATCCGCGCTCTACTTTTGCCTTCCCTTTTCTATATAATATATACCGTATTTGCCGGCGTATAAGACGACCCCCCTACTTTTCCTGCTAAAATGTAGTGTTTGGGCTATACTCGCCGTATAAGACTACCCCTCTTCCAATGCACACCAGTGGGAGGAATAGTGCCCCATCATTGGTGTCAGTGGGGAGGAATAGTGCCCATCATTGGTGTCAGTGGGAGGAATAGTGCCCCATCATTGGTGTCAGTGGGAGGAATAGTGCCCCATCATTGGTGTCAGTGGGAGGAATAGTGCCCCATCATTGGTGTCAGTGGGAGGAATAGTGCCCCATCATTGGTGTCAGTGGGAGGAATAGTGCCCCATCATTGGTGTCAGTGGGAGGAATAGTGCCCCATCATTGGTGTCAGTGGGAGGAATAGTGCCCCATCATTGGTGTCAGTGGGAGGAATAGTGCCCCATCATTGATGTCAGTGGGAGGAATAGTGCCCCATCATTGGTGTCAGTGGGAGGAATAGTGCCCCATCATTGGCATTAGTGGCAGGAATAGTGCCCTATCATTAGTATCAGTGGAGGAACAGTGCTCCATCATTGGTGTCAGTGGGAGGAACAGTGCCCCATCATTGGTGTCAGTGGGAGGAATAGTGCCCCATCATTGGTATCAGTGGCAGGAATAGTGCCCCATCATTGGTGTCAGTGGGGGGAATAGTGCCCCATCATTGGTGTCAGTGGGGGGTGGAATAGTGCCCCATCGTTGGTGTCAGTGGGGGGGGAATAGTGCCCAATCATTGGTGTCAGTGGGGGGGAGGAATAGTGCCCCATAGTTGGTGTCAGTGGGAGGAATAGTGCCCCATCATTGATGTCAGTGGGAGGAATGGTGTCCCATCATTGGTGTCAGTGAGGGGTGGAATAGTGCCCCATCATTGGTGTCAGTGGGGGGGGAATAGTGCCCAATCATTGGTGTCAGTGGGGGGGAGGAATAGTGCCCCATAGTTGGTGTCAGTGGGAGGAATAGTGCCCCATCATTGGTATCAGTGACACCAATGATGGGGCACTATTCCTCCCACTGAGACTTGCTGACCCTGTTCTCGTGTGGTGCTGCTGCAGACAGCATATGTGGTTGCAGCAGCACCTCTACACAGAACACTTACCTGCTGCTCCGGCACTCAATTTTCGCGGGGCCGCTCGGCTCCGCCCCCTCGCCGGTGATTGGCCGCCTGTGTGCCTTTCCTGAGCTACAGTTCTGGCGGCCAATCACCGGTGAGGAGGCGGAGCCGAGCAGCCGCACGAACATCCAGTGGCCGAACTGAAGGAGACGCCGCGCTTCCTGGACCGGATCGTCGTGGGACTGGATCCAGGTAAGAGACATCAGCCCCTGCAAACCCCTGTACTTAATGCCGCAGCCCCCCTAACATGTGTACCGGCGTATAAGACGACCCCCGACTTTTGAGAAGATTTTCAAGGGTCAAAAAGTCGTCTTATACGCCGGCAAATACGGTAATTTAAGATAGTTATAATAGAAATATAAATTTTAAGTGTGATGTAATTCTGTTGTCCAGCCACTTATCCACTTGATTTACCTAAATTAATTTATTTATAATTTCCTAGTACTTCAAAAAAATTTTATCTGTAATTAGATCCAATTGTAATATATATAAAATAAATTAATTAATTAAATATTTGTGCCAGTGTGTAAAAAAAATATAACTATTTGTGAATTTGATTAATCTAATGCGCAAATAATATCATACCTACTATCAATTTCATGTGTATATATAAAATTA